TAATATCATTGTGGAAACTGTGATCATATTATTCCAGGATTTTTTACTGAATAGAAAGTTCAAAATGACAGCATTTATTTGAAATAGAAATCTTTATAAATGCCTTTAGTCACTTGATTCAATTTAAAGTGTCCATTCATTTCTGTTTTTTTAAAAAAGATCATACTCCAAACATTTGAATGGTATATAGTGTATGATGTTTTCCACAAAAAATATGAAGTAGCACAACCATTTTCAACATTGATAATAATGGCTGCTGAAAATTCACATTTGCATCATAGGAATAAATTATATTTTAAAATATATTCAAATAGAAAACAGCTATATGATCCAAAATGGCTGGAATCACATGAAATAAATACTTTTCTCCAAAACACGCTGGCCATAATTATAGTTTGTTATTAAATACTTTTTGCTAACTTGCAATCAAATATGTATCTATCTATACTGTATATATACTGTATATATATATGAAGAGTTCAGATGCAAAAGCCTCTAAATGCCATTTGAAATTTTCTTCTTTAATGATGATTTTTGTCAAGCTTGTATATTTAAGTTCAGTGATTTCACTTAAATGGCAATGATAATCACCTATTAATTGTTATTTAAGTGAAATTACTGAACTTAAATATACAAGTTTGATAAAAATCATCATTAAAGAAGAAAATTTCAAATGGCATTTAGAGGCTTTTGCATCTGAACTCTTCATATATATATATACACACATATACAGTATAGCTAGATAAATAGTTGTTTTTTTAATACTCTAAATTAATATAGATATACTATTTATATTTTTGGATGCATTAGCATATCCTAACCATTTAAAAAAGCTCATATGCACACACGTTTCAGAACATTAGTTGAATTCTAATGCACAAAAAGATTGCTATGTTGTACGTTTAGACTACCAAAATAATAAATAAAATAAAAATATGAAACAATTAAATATATAGTATAATATTCAAATAATAGTGTAGGCCTACTACCGAGAAACACTGGGGGTTGATTCCCTCAGAGGTATTCACATTTGGGCGTGTGTAAACCAGGACAGCGATGAGCTGTTGTGTGTGTGACGCGAAAGTCTCTGCGCATGGCTTGTGGATAAGCCGGTGGATTTTTTTAAATCTGACAGCTGAGGGGTCAAACAGACTCTGACCCACACACACCAACACAAACAAACACACGCACGCAAACCCTCCCAGAGACAGCAGCACTAATGCAAAGTTCCCGTCAAAAAATATTGAGCCACAAAATGCTACTAATCCTCTATACTACCGCTGCACTCTTTCTAGTCGAGACTACAGTAAGTGCACTGCAAATAATTCATTAAATAAATACAGAAATCAATATCTTTGACTTGTTTTCCAGTAAACCATGCATAAAACAAGATAACTAAGCAAACGTATTACAATTAATAATTTAGCAGACGCTTTTATCCAGAGCATGTCACGTTTTAAGCTTAACCAAATATTAACTAAATAAAAAAATATACTGTATAAACAGGTGAAAAAGTACACAATAATAAAATGAAAATACAGTTTTAAACACTACATGCAACAAACATTCCTTCAAAATGAAATTTATCTAATGCAATTTTACTTCTTTGGTAAATTTGAGTGCGGTCAAATCGATTAATCACGATTAATTGCATCTATCATAATTTTATTTATTTACGTATGTTTGCGTGCATATATGTATTTATATATATATATATATATATATGAAGAGTTCAGATGCAAAACCCTCTAAATGCCATTTGAAATTTTCTTCTTTAATGATGATTTTTATGAAAATTGTATATTTAAGTTCAGTAATTTCACTTAAATAATTAATAGGTAATTATCATTGCCATTTAAGTGAAATCACTGAACTTAAATATACAAGCTTGATAAAAATGATCATTCTAGAAGAAAATTTCAAATGGCACTTAGAGGCTTTTGCATCTGAACTCTTCATATATATATATATATATATATATACTGTATATATATAACATGTGTGTGTGTGTGTGTGCATTTATACACATATATATACACAAACAAAAACTTTTATCTTAGATGTGATTAATCATGATTAATCAATTTGACAACACTAGTAAATTTGTAAATGTGAAGATATTATATACATAATTTTACTAGAAAACAATATCCAATAAAATTTTTCCTTTTCAGTTAAAGGGATACTCCACTTTTTTGGGAAATAGGCTCATTTTACAACTCTCCCAGAGTTAAACAGTTTTCGAATCCATTCAGCCAATTTTCTGATATTCAAAAGAATATCAGTAACCAGACAATTTCTGGTCTTATTGACTTCCATAATGTATTTTTTCCTATTATTGAAGTCAATGAGACCAGAAACTGGTTACTGATATTCTTCTAAATATCAGAAAAACGGCTGAATGGATTCGAAAACGGTAAAACTCAACTATTTAACTCTGGGGGAGTTGTAAAATGAGCCTATTTACAAAAAAAAGTGGAGTATCCCTTTAAGGCCAAAATGACATTTGGACATTTGTCACATCAGGATCTTTAGTGACAGTTCAACAAGTGGCCGAATGAACAGTCCTTCACTAAAGATGAGGAAAACCAAGCTTTTTCAGACGCCTTCTCTTCTGTGCTACACAATAGCGCTATTTTTACATTGCTCAGAAAACAATAAGAGTGCTGAGGAAGGGGAGGGAAACAGGTCCATTATGGTGACCTTTAAGCATTATAGCTTTGCAGCCATAATCCAACTAGCCTGTCCAAACCCTGATAGCACTCATCTCTCTTTCTTCTTAGTCTGGTCTATCGCTTCCACTTCTGTGCTGTCTAAAAACGACACCTACCCTTCCCCCTCCGCGCTTCCATCCTCCGTTCCCCTCTCTGATCTAGTTATTGAATGGCAGCTGAGATATTATCTGGCCATATTCAGAGACTCGACAGCATATTAGAAGATCTGTGAGGCCAGAGAGCAAAATAGCCACTTATTCACATAACTGGCACATTTAATTCTTACAGAAATGTCAGTTTAGTCCTAAAGGCCATTTACAAACCAAGCACGATAACTATAAAGATAACCATAACTACATTTGCGTCCACACCAACAAACAATAACACGCTGTTTATGAGAAGCGCGCTCTCGTCTGCGGCTTTGAATGCTCGAGCTCTTTAAAGAGGAATGGATTCTGATTTGCGGTTCGTGGTTTTTATCGCTCATCAGCTGGAGAAAACCGCTCTGAAAGTGACAACTATATCTGTTCGAGTGTAATAGTTGTGGTGTGGATTGCTTTTCTTTTATATTTAGATACATTTTTAGAACTATCTTATACCATCAGTTGTTTTTATTGTCCTGTGGTGTGTGAACGGGCCTTTAGACCACTTGTCAAATCCTTAAGATCCCATAAATATCACAATATATTTGTGGCTTTTAGGCATGCATGTTTGCTTTTGATGTCATTTATATGATAGTGTACTCCAAAACAATCAGGTATGCCTTTTTTAGGACCAAATGACTGATGAAATTTTTGATGAAACATCTTAGAATGACACCCCCCCCCCACCCCCCCCACCCCCACCCCCCCACATTGTAAAAAATATAAGATCACTAACTTATTGACAATATGCTTTTACATTGCTTAAACAAATATTGATACAAGATTCAACTATTTTTTTTGTTTTTGTTGTCAGTTTAATGTAATTCAAGTTGAAATGACTTAAAGGAGAACTCCGGCGCAAAATCAACCTTTGGTCTAATAACACATTGGTACCTAATTGACCGTACTCTGAGATTTGTTTTCATGATAATCGAATGTAAAGAGTTTTATCTCTAAAAACTGTTTAGCGTATACACTAGTAATGGGGGCATTGAGGAAGTAAAAAGAAATCGCTAGTTTATACCACTAACAAGGCTCAAAATAGCCCCACACTAACGCAGTAACATAATGAGGGTCCATACATGCAAAACGAAACATTGAAAACTGTGTAAGTGTACAGACCGTTTAATAAGAAGATACTTTATAAAGACAGTTCACTTCGCATATACAGACAGGAGCCATCTTTGGAAAACAGTCTCGATAAGTCGAACCACGAACGACATGCTAAGTGAGCTGAACTGTATGAATGGTGTTCGTGGTTTGACTTGTCGAGACTGTTTTCCAAAGATGGCTCCGCCTGTATACACGAAGTGGACTGTCTTTATAAAATATCTTCTTATTAAACGGCCTGTAAACTTACAAAGTTCTCAATGCTTTGTTTTGCATGTATGGACCCTCATTATGTTACTGTGTTAGTGTGGGGCTATTTTGAGCCTTGTTAGTGGTATTAACTAGCGATTTCTTTTTACTTAGAAAATGCCCCCATTACTAGCATTATACGCTAAACAGTTTTTAGAGATAAAACTCTTTACATTCGATTATCATGAAAACAAATCTCAGAGAACGGTCGACTAGGTACCGATGTTTTATTAGACCAAAGGTTCATTTTGCGCCGGAGTTCTCCTTTAAACATAGAAGTTGATTGTACTTAAAAAATTTAAGGCAGTGACCTGAAAATAAGAAAACCTGCAAACATCGAAGCAACTGCAAGAAAATCAGGATTTGTTGGTGTGTCTTGCTTCAAAATTCATAGATTCATTTAATAAAAATCATGGATAGACACAAGCAGTAATATTATTTGATCAGAATGTGCTACCAAGGCAATATAAGGTAAAGGGTTAGTGTTTGTTTTAGCAATTTTGTAGGCGTGATTGTGTGATTGACATGACCAATGAAATCTTTGAATTCGTTGTGGGTTTATATGGGTTTATGATAAATAGACATCCATTCTTGCATTAGGTGTTTGTGCATTTGGGGGCGGAGCAATGAAGGGAGGGGTGTGTTTAATTCAATTAATTGACATTCATTGGGAAAACTTTCTCAAAAGTGTTACAGATCTCCAAGACCATTATTGCCACCGAATCAATCACAACCACAAAATATATGTTTTTAAGATGGTGTACAGAAACAAGCTCTCCAAATGTTCAGTTTTTATTTTTTTATTTTAAGTTCATTCCTTTTAACCACATATTTAGCAGTCAACATCAAAGTAGCCCAATTCTTAAAAAGTAACAGCATAGAAATGTCCATTTTTGATTGGATGTAAAACAGACATAAAACCTCTTTTGTTTAGCTTACAAGAGGCAGTATATGTTCAAGGATGTGTGTGTGTGTGTGTGTGTGTTTGTGTCTATGTATATTTGGAAAGGTGTGAAACACCTGAGACGCAGTCACGATAAGTGGGAATGACTGGCGATGGGTTCCTTTCAGCAATCAGTTTCTGATAACATCTATTGTTTTCATACATTTGTATGTCTTAAGGCTGTAGCCGTTTCGTACTCTAAGTACAGTACATATCCAATATATACAAATCAAAAGTTGTACATCTACCCCCCGCGGTGACATCATTAACTGTGACAAGCGCAGCACCGGGACAAAGTAAGGATTCATCATGTTAAAGCGGGAATTCACATCCGTGTGAGTGACAGCACCATATAGTCTTTCACGTAACATTCATAAGTGCAACACGTTAGCTATGTCCCGCCACCGGTGTTCACAGAAGACGGCGTATGAGAGGAGGAACGCAGACTCAGAAAGCCGGGGGATTGGGGAAAAAAGGTCGAACTACACAGAAAGCAGAGCCTACTTTTTTGGGAGTGGGTCGTGAGAAACTTCAAGACACCAAATTTGAACAAGACACAATCTTGAGAAGGAAGTTCACTTTTTTTAAACACTTGTAACAAATAAAAACAAGCATATCAATACAAAAGGCATACAGCCCAAAACCCCTTGTCCTCTCAAGGAGAAAAAAAAAGAATAAAAACCCTTTCTCTCTGTCTGTGGACAGTGACGTCACAAACTAGCAAACATGTATACACCACCTTCCCCCCCTTTTCAAAACACACGGTGCTCTAATGCTCTCATGGCTACAACTCACACAAGTTTTATACTTTTTTTAATGCGTTTTATGTCTTTTTTTGGAGGGATTTCATTTATGATTTTTAAAACTACCCAACAGCAGCATTCCATATGGAAAGAATGAACAATCCGGTTTGTTTAAATTCAGTTTTTGGCGCATCAGTCTAAAAATGATATATAAGATCTCACTTTGTGATGCAAAAGTAGATTTCAGTACATTCAAACATACAGATCCTTCACTAGGCTCCCTATACTCACTAGTGTTATAAGAAAACGCTCCTCCCAAGTCCCATCAGGCACGATAATAACATTACCCACAATGCCACCAACAAACTAACAAATACGACCCAATCATATTTTTTTTAATGCAGTTTATATTACTTTTAATTTTTTTTTTTTTATCAAATCATTTTCATTTTTGTGTAGGAAAGAAAAAAAGTAGTTTTTTTTGGCTCTGTGAGCACAGAGTTAGAATTTAGGACGTGTAAAATAGGTATATATTTATACGTATCTATATATATAGTGCAAATCAACTACACATTGAAACTAACGATAAGGAGAACCGAAGCAACTAAGGCAATCACTACTTAAATATATTCTCTCATATATATATATATTTTCTGTTTTAACATATAATGTAGATCAAATATAAATACTTTATCCATATACGTACATATAGGGTAGATATCTCTCTTTTTCTGTGAACTATATACACATCATGTCTACATTTAGCTGAAATGGTAATAGCAGGGTAGCAGGAGTGAAACTGCAATGCAGTGCTGCAGTCGTTGACGAACACACACACATTCACACACCTCTTCCAATGATCCTGATGGTGCAGGAGCAGAAAGGGTCCGTCGCTCATACAGTAGGTAATCTGAAGCCTCAGACCTTTGTATAAGTGTCTGCAGTCCATGCAATAACGCAAAGCTCTGCTAAACCATGGAATGTGCTTCTAGAGTTGCCCTCTCACTTCTTGGGCTAAACAGTCGAGAGAAAAGAAAACGGACAAACATGAAGAAGATGCATCACACACACACACACAAAAAAAAAACGCCACTGTCCTTAGAGAGAGAGGAAGAGATACCTGAGATCCAGACGTCAACCCTCTTCCCACCCCAGTTTCATAAACCCAACCCACAAACCCTTCGAAGAATCTCATGCTGCAAACGCTTCAGTCGTTTCGCCCCTTGGTTGTAGTAATAAAATTCAAGATGGCAGGTCAGGGGGGCATTTAAAGTATAGCATATGCTTAAAAAAAACTACATCGAATTGAGAATTCAGGAATCCGTCGGTAAGTCCAGTTGAGGGGTGTATTGCTACCGCCCTGATGATTTCGCACAGCATGAGTATTAGGAGTGCTTGCTGGGTAAAACAAAAAAGAGGAAACAACAACAACACGACAGTGATCTCTGCCCGCGCGGTGACGGGAGTGTCGGTATTAGACAGTGCAGGTAGATATTTTTCGTTTAAGACTAGCTAACACACTACGCCTGATACATCACTAAAGTAGCTGCAGTCCCTTCGGAGAGACGTTTTAGAAAACAAAACGACATGACAGCACATCTCTTGACACGAAGCGATCTTTGCCTGTACGGTAGAAGTAACCCTTTTTGCTCTGATCTCGCAGCTTTCCCAAATCCGCTCCTTGGCTATTACGTGGGAAGAGGCAAAGCTGGCTTCAGACGAGTGTAAAAAGGCCACTCCTTCGGACGTTGTCATCTAAGTGCAAAATACCATGCTCTGGTTGGTTAGCTAACTGGTCAGATGACCCAGCCCTGTGTCTGGACGGTTCAGTTTTTGATTGAAGGAACGTAAGACGGCCTGGGTGCGTCGTCCCAGGGTGCGACAGTGTGACTAGGCAGTGGGTGTGGTATGGTACACATTCTTCGTCTGGCTATGAGGTCTTTAAGGGTCTTTTGAGGGTCTTCCGGGAATGGGAACGTCCCAAATCGAGTGCCTCTCTCCAGGATGGGTGGGAAGATCTGATTGGTTCGGCCTTTTCTCCCAGTTAGTGCTGTATGTATGAGGTCTGTTTGGTGGGCGGCACATCCGAATTCCAATACTTTCTCCGTGCTTCCTCCTCTTGACTCGCACACGCACACCTAGATGGGATTTGTCAGAGCTTTCCGTTGTTTCGGTCACAAAGGAGACAACACCGTTCAAGTATCAGAGGAGGACCTGGCTGAAGGTGATTAGAGGTTCAGGTTGAAGTGGTTGGAGATGAGTGGCTGAGGAACCAGGGTGATCTGTGCTCTTATAGACTGCAGCCCAGCTCTGGGCTCTTCTCCTGAGGGTTGGCGAGGCGACGGAGACTGGCACTGGAATAGCCTTCATCACTGCAGCTGCTGCGCAAGCTCCCCCGCTCGTCCGAGTCGCTCACGCTGCTGGTGCTCCACTCCAGGTCTCCCAGCAGATAGTCTGTTCCTTCCACGTCGACGTCCACCTCTTCTGCAAAGCAAACACAGGAAAAAATCATTCATAGGATTCTATGGCAGATATTCCTTCTTTATACTTCCTATGTCTGTAGTGCATCACAGAGTGAAACCAAAAAAATAATAATCAAATAATCAACATGACATCATGACTTTTGCGTAAACATACACGCCACTTTCAAGTCAAGTGGTGTGTTATTTATACGCATTTTCAGCTATCCGCGTGTATGTCTACGCCGTTAAATGTCCGAGCGAAACGAAGCAAAATGTAGAACTACAACTGGGGAGCGATATTTTTTTTCCTAGGATGCTATTAACTAGGGCTGGGTATTGACACAAATTTCACAATTCGATTCGATTTCGATTCACAAGCTTGCAATTCGATTCGATTTCAATATTGATTATTTTGGATATCAGTTACTATAAATGGCAAATTTTCTCAAGGAAATCAAATCTCTTAACTAATGCTGTAAACTATGGGAGTCTAGTTGTAGCCTATAGGCTTCATTAGCCTAATATGAAGGTAATAATGAACTGTTTTGTAGCTATACAAACACTTAAATTACACTTTTATTTACTTTTATAATAGGAAGATTATATGAAATATAAACATTTAAATGGTGGCTGTCATAAAAACGTGCCAGATTTATTCAAATATGCATTAAATATTGAAGATCATTAAGATTATAATGCATATGTAATATGTGTATATATTTAGCAAAATGCTCCTCTCTAGTTTTTTCTCTCTAGGTTTTCTGAGGTAAATATGACGATACATGACATTGATTACAAGCTGTTTAACTGACGTCTTTCCACGGTTGAAACGCTGATTGAGCGAATCAATGTGACATGATACAGATTTCGATAAGTTATACTCTTATCTTTTAACACACTTTCAGACGCTCATTCATGTTTATTTCGCGCTGTGACTGGTATTATTAAGGCGGAAGAGAGATCAGCGCTGCTGCTTCTGTGATCTCACGCCACAGCGCCAAAACGTAATTTATGTTTTTGAATTTCTAAAGAAAATGGACGTAATTTGAAAATTGAGACTTTGTTTCATATCAATAGTAACAAAGGACAAAGATTATTGCGATGTTTTGGATGCGCGCAGCCGCGAGACAATGTTTCCATTCATTCAAATGAAACAGGATGACTAATCGATTCTTGAGATATCGATATCGGTTCGTAAAAATGAGAATCGATCAATATCAAGAAATCGATATTTATTACCCAGCCCTACTGTTAACCCCAGCGACGGGTAGGTTTAGGGATATTTATATACAGTAATGTAACGTTAAGTCATGCATGTATTATGCATGTTGATAGCACGTCAAAAATGGAAATACGCCATTTCATGAGATCAGTCTGAAATAATAAAGTCATTCGTTTTGATTGCAATATTTTTTGCAAGTATCAGTGGTCTGGAGTGGACTAGGGGGACTGGAGGCATGCAGAGTCCGTTTTTTGTTATGTTCCATGTGAAGAATCTGGGTAACTTGTAGGTGATCTTCATTATGTAAAACCAATGAAAAACAACTGATCACGAAAAAAACCCCCTGCTCTATAAAAACTGGTAGAGCATGGTGCTAGTATACTGTTAATTTCAAAAGTAAATGCAAAAGTGTCTCCCAAATGGCAGCAACAGCAACAAAATTGATAATAATCAGTAATCTACACATTTAAAAAAAAGTTGGGTCTAAGCACCATGCACAGGGATGTGCTAAATGTGACTTTACTATACAATAAGCAAAGCAAAATATCATTTTATTTTAACATTTTACATTAACATTATATATTATATTATAATACAATTTATATTATTTATATTTTATATTCTTAGGATTGTTTGGCATATATTTCTTGTTTGTCTGTTGTGAATTGCAAAGTGAAATCGAAAAATTATGAAAATGTACAAAAACGTCTAAAAATGATGAGATTAATTGTGATTCGATATTTGAATCGAAAGCCCTAATAAAACTGATGGTGCTAGCATGTAATATACAGTATACTGAATGAACATTGAATGCACAGATGGTGAATTCCACTATAAAATGCATTTCTGTGAAAATAAAAATGACTTACAAAGGTGTTTCAATCCAAGCACAAGATCATTTCATATTAACGTTTTATATATTATATTATAAATACAGAATTTATATTATTTATCAACATTTATTATATTATATACACTTAATAGAAGCAATTGCCTGTTGTTTTCTTTATTATTATTATTCATAATTTGATTTTTTTTTTAAATGTCTTTTTATTCAAAAGATCTGATAGGTTTATCACAATAATTGCTTAAGGCTAATTGTAAAGGTAAAAACACAAGACATTTTGCTCAGGCAATAACACAAACCACAAAGATCTGATGGATAATGATGTTAACACAGTCTGACAGTGTGTCTACACTGCAAGCAAGTGGTTTGACAAGACAAACAAGATTGATCACGCTATAATCAATGAAGCAGTCAACAGTGCACACTAACATAAAGGAAGCTCTCTAGTTCTTTCTAAGTCGTTTAGTTTGCCTAACATTCATATTAACATATCTGCCAAACTTTTCTTGATAATGCTTGTCTTGTGTCACACACATAGATAGTACACTCACCCAGTTTTATGCAGCATTTGTTCCTTTAGATGTTAAAAAATCTGTTCACATGCACATAAATTATAATTACGTGAAAATTGCATGGTGTGAGCTGTAATTTCGTTTTAAGACTTGTTTTCAATCAGTCGTTATTAACGTTATAGCATTTTCCTGTGCATTTTGAAGTGTGCTACGTTTAGTCAATCTGGCCCATTATCTCCATGGCAACATTCCAATTTAGGTGTTAAAGCATTCATTGTGGTGCTGCGTGCTACAGTCGATCTATGCGCCATCTGTTTCTAGGACAGGCCACAGCATATACGAAATAAACTCCCCAGGATTATTATTCGTCTCAATTCTGAGAAAAAACATTTGAGCTTCCTGTGTGATCGTCAAACTTCTACCGTGTGTCCGCAAGTGAACCTGAATCTTGTATAAAGGCCGACCGTAGATGACAACCGGTTCTAGGTAGAAGCATTACCACTAAAAAACCTTTTAAAAAGAAAGAGCTTCTGGGTATTTTTTTTTAAAAGCGTTCTTAGAAGCCTCGAATGGATCTTCCCTATTTGACCCTGTTGTGTTCAATGTAAATAATGCATGTATGACAATGTGACATGCATAAAAGCAAGATTTTAAATGATTAAAGGAATTCAATTTCTACTTCTCGGCTTCTTTTTAATGTGTACTAAATGAGCAGAACAAGTTTCGACATGCAAAAGCAAACAGTTCAGTTCTTGTTTGACTTTCTGTGTAGTCTGTAACCAATTTACTCGTCTGCATTCGTGTTTGCTTTGATATCAAACCTAATATTTTACTTTTAAATTACATTTGCATTTAAATGCAAACTGAATGCACTGTGCTGCATCCTATTGACTGCACTTACCATCTTCTCTTTTATTATTTCCTTTTAAAACACTTAACTTTAGATTAGGTAACAGAAAATCAGAAATTGAAATTAAGTGCTTTAAGACAATCATAGATTACATTAGTAATGAGAGTTTCTTAAAATTTTTATGTAAAGTAATTTGAATTATCATTGTATTTGAAATAAACTCACCTTGCCTAATATTTCAGAATATGGCATCATGCTCAGGTAACATAAGGTGCGCCCACAGTTTGTCATTAAAATGCAGATGTAACAACCAGACCATTTAGTATTTTGCCATTTTGAGATTATTGGCTCTGGCCACTGAAAATCCCATATTGGTTGACTGCTACAAAGAATGAAATCATGAGAATATATGAAAATGCCTTAAATTACAGTCTTATATCCAATGTTTAAAGGCTTAGTTCAACCAAAAATGGAATAAATAAATAAATCTGTTCATCATATAAATGTCAGTCATGTCTCTACAGAATTTTTTTACTAAACCGCTCAATTCATAAGGATTCATAGTTTTACAATCTCTTTATGAACATTGTGAAGCGTCAAAAGTGGTCGTTGAGTAGCAGTCAATGGAGGGACAACAAAGCTCTCAGATGTTTGATGTCTCTAAACCATGTTCACAGTCTTCACAATTCTGATTATTTGTGAATCCAATTGTCCACATTTATCCAGATCCAATTTGTGTGTCCCGTAGTGCTCTTTCGTTTTACAGAATGTCTGTGTTGGTTTATGTTTTCTATGGCGATTTATATTTTCTGTGCGACCTGCACATCAACAACAATGCAACACAACCCTGTTTCTGAAACGACATTTGACGCATTTGAATGTAGCTTGACATCGGATTTAGCATTTGGACTGACAGTGTGAACAAGGCTTAAGACTTAAAGGCCGTTTTCACACCTGAAAGTCCGCACCAAGTTCACGTTTTGATAAGGGCTGTGCAAAAATTAATTGCGATTAATCGCATCCAAAATAAAAGTCTGTGTTTACTTAATATATTTGTGTGCTGTATATGATTATTTTGTATATATAAATACACACACATGCATGTAGATATTTAAGAAAATGTGTTATTCATATATAAAATATTTATATAATATAGATTATGTATTTATATATATATATATATACAGAATTTAAGCGCAAATAATTCTTAAATATATACATGCATGCATAGGTATTTATATATACACAAAATAATTATATACAGCACACACAAATATATTATGTAAACACAGACTTTTATTTTGGATGTGATTAATCGCAATTAATTTTTGCACAGCCCTAGTTTTGATACATTTTATACGTTCCGAAAGTTTTGGTTTGGTTTCACACTGCAATTATGCGATCGCACTAAAGAACTTTATGTGACATACTTGAGTCTTGTCGTCATCATCTATGTGGACTGCATCTTGACATTGATTGGTTTGTAAACAGACATGCGTCTGACGTCAGCGTGTTGTCAATTTGGCGGGTAACTTTGACAACATGAATGAACAGACACATATCGTTGCAACTATTTTGTTATTTTTATGGCATAATTAGGTGCAGCACCAATTATACACAAGGCTAGTTCAAATTCGCCAAATGAACGTCCTCGTTGTGCGAACATTTTATCGAGTTGACTTCTTATTAACGTTATGTCATCAGACCATACTTCAATTAAAAACCTCGTCTCCTCCTCTCCCCATATGCTACCACCGTACCACGGCTCATTTTTCCTGCCACCTTCTGTTTTTTCGACTATGCGGGAACCACCGGAACTTCCAGTAAAAGGTCTGAAAGTCCGAACCGTGCAGAAATGCTTTCACACTAGAAACTAAACAAACCTTTGTTCAGTTTGATCCGGACCGAGACTACCTCTTTTCAATCATCAGACCAAATTTCATCTGTTTGGTCCGGACCGTGGTCCAGGTTAGGTTTAACACCTGTAATTTTGATTCGGACCAAACTGAAAAGTCCGAAAGTCCGGCCCAAACAAGATAGGTGTGAAAGGGCCCAAAGACTCTAGTTGACCATAACTGTGAGTATATACCTTGGTCAGAGTCGGATTTGTCAGAAGAGATGGTGGAGCCCATACTGTCCATGCGTATGCGCTCCACACCCAGCTGCTCCAGGCGTCTGCGCAGGTGCCTTTGTTCTCTTTGCAGCTGGTCTATAGCATGCTGGGCCTTCCGCTCGCCATCTTCCAACCTCTGCAAAGACAGATGTGCTCAAATCTTATTGTAAAATGGATAGTACTGCCATTATAAAATTGCAGATTTACATACACGTGGGACTGCACATCAGTTCAAATCTGTATTTACTCTACCATTCAAGCATGAGGTCAGCAAGATCATTTTTATATTCACAAGTTAAAGCAATTAAATTGATCAAAAGTGACATTAAAGAGATTTATATTACAAAAGATTGCATATTATCACTATTGTTAATGTATTTTTGATACAAAAAACAATTACAAATCTAACTGACCCAAAAGTTTTGAACGGTACTGCATGCATCAGACTTCTAAGAAACATAGTAATGAAGTAACCTACTTTGTTTGTAAGAATTGGTGGTAACATTTTAATGTTTTGCATTAACATTGACAATGAGCATTGCAAAGTTTCTGGATTGAACAACCGTATTTAAATGCACAATTTAATTTAATTGACAGCGATAACCATAGCAATGGATGGAACAATATCATACTGTATGTCAAAGACATGATCTGACACTTTTTCTATGTAATGTGTTATTATGTGGGTCATTTTATTACTATCTTTTCAAATCAGTCACTTATTATTTTTCTTCTACATTTTTAAATATAAATGAGTTCTTTTGCTTAATGATCAGTCCTGACAGAGAGTATTTATTATTTAATGATTAAATAGGTTAAGTTAATATTACATAATAACTGTTTCTTTGCATTTATTTTGGATTTATTGTCAGTACTGTGCTCGCAGGTCACATGGGTAGGGTACTTCGTACTGTGTGTGTGTGTGTGTGGATGACCGTGTTCATCCGCCACCACCAAAGACCCTTTTTGACCCAGGCAAACCCTGTTAAGCTTTGTGGGTTTAAGCTCACGGGACATTTTAAGCACTTCAGGGTCGTGCCTAACAACCACAACACTGAACTGTGGTAAAATCTCAGTAACTGCTTCTTGAGACTTGCTGCTTTAATATCAAATCATTGCATTTCTGTATTTTGAGAACAATATGAACTGCCAAGGGACCGTTGGCACATACCTTGATGTGTTCCTTAGCCCTCATAAGTAGGCTGAGGGTTGTGTGCCTGTTTGAGTCTGGTCCTAAGGGCACGAAAGATTTCAAGCGTTCCAAACACAGTCTTAGATGTGCTCTCCTGAGTGGTTGGAAAAGAGAGAAAGAGAGATAGTCATAAAAGCAGTGCAACTGCAATATTTTCAATAAGCAGTAGCAACAACATGAATCATAAAAATAGGACGAATGTGACCTCGATCTGCAAAGTTAACACCTTTCAGTAACACCACTCACAATATAGTATAGTAAGAATTCAAAAGACTAGGAATATAGTGCATGATTCATACCAACTAGTTTTATTATACTTCTATGTCATTTTTGAAGTTTGAAACCTTTAGTTACTGGTCATTATAACTGGATGGGGGTAAAAAACTAGCACAAAATAATTCTTCAAAAAATCTGTTACACATAAGAATGAGTGATACAGATTTGGGGGGAAAATGTTGGATGAACTATTAAAGGAGTAGTTCACTTTAAAAAAAAAAACTTTTGCTGATAATTTACTCACCCCCATGTCATCCTTTCTTCAGTCCAAAAGAAATTAAGGTTTTTGATGAAAACATTCCAGGATTTGTTCATTTCGTTCGTTGAATAAACCAAATGACTCGAAAAAAGATTTGTTCATTTTGATGAGCGAGTTCGAACAGGAGAGTCACGAACGCTGATCACAAAACAGAGCAAGGCGAGCATTTGAGCTTATAAAACTTAAACTTTTTTATTTATTTTTAAATGAGTGATCGTTTCGCTTGATAAGACCCTTATTCATCGTCTGGAACCGTTTAAAGCCCGTTGAACAGTTTGCAGTTTGCACTGAAACTGTCTTTTGGACCTTGAACCGTTTGGTTACCAGTAAAGTGCATTATATGGAGAAAAATCCTGGAATGTTTTCATCAAAAACCTTAATTTCTTTTCGACTGAAGAAAGAAAGACACGGACATCTTGGATGACATGGGGGTGTGTAAATTATCAGCAAAATATTTTTTAAAAGTGAACTACTCCTTTAAGCTTTTTACATTTTCAACTTTCTTTAGTGTGTAATGTTGCTGTTTAAGAGTCAAAAAGGTCTGCAAAGCACAAGGTTCACTACAAAGGGAGTTATTTTCTATATCAGAAAGCACTGTTTCTGAACTCCCTGAAACGCCTCGATTGCAGTCATGAGTTTTCTTCCCGGAATGTTCCACGTCACAATATTCTTAATTTAAATAATTCCTGCCAAAGGCATATGGACAAAAAAAGGAGGGAGGGGTGTTGGTTGCGAGTCCTGGTTGAGCTGCGTTTGTAGCATGTTTGAGGTTATGGTGAGGGACGTTTCTGCAACGCTTGACCAATCAAAACACACTTGTCCAGCCAACCAATCAGAGCACATTGTGCTTTTCTGAAGGAGGGGCTTCATAGAGACCAGAACTAAACTGAGCATTACTGACAGACTGGGAAGAGAGGTGCTGCAACACTGTAAAATGCCTAAGATTCCAGTAAATAAGCCAATGAATACAACATTAACACATTATTATTCTATCATTCACATTTAATGGTACAAATCCAACAAATAAACCTGTTATTTAAATAAGGATCATTAAGTTCATTCCTCCAAACGTTTCTCTAACTTCCTCTCTTGTGCGTGCACAGGGATACACAGCTGCTGGGGTGTGGTGATGATAGGTGCCAGTGGCCATGTGACCTGTTATGCAACCTGTCAGAAACTGCAGACTGCTTTGCTTTCCTGCTGTATTTGTATGGAGGCGTGGGTCACAACCCGACTATTTTACTGCTGTTGCTCAGAGGCTACGTATGATCGTCTGCATGTTCGCAATGGCGTGTCGTGCCAACAGATAAGTGTGTACGTGCTGGCTGTGGGCAGCTCTTTCTAAGCAACTGTAGTTAAGCATGTAATCATTTAAATATAGAAAATGAGGATGTAAAATGAAAGGTGTCATTTTGCCATATGCAAATGTTAAGAAGATCACACAAAAAACAAAACAAAAAAAGAACTAACTAAAACACTATAACTAACTACAATATATATAATTCCAGCTGTACAGAAATACACACTAAAATACATGATTTGCTTTGCAACTGTTGCTACAAAAATAATTTACTATTAATTATAATGAATAATAACTTTTCTCAAAACTAATAAAAAAATAATAATTTGAATGAAAAGAAATCTGGTAAAAACATTAATATGAAATAGTGGCCAATTGTGTTTCTTTTAAATGTTGCTGCTGCAGTTCAAGACCAGTTTAATGCAAATTATTAAAAAGAATGTACAAACACAGGGAAAATAAGGGGAATATCATAACGCCGAAGGACAGATTGTGGGTAGACCTGCCTCTCCAGCAACACACGTACACATAAACATGCGCTGGAGCTACACACCCAGAAAAAGGGCAATGTTTGCACCACTGCTCATCGCTTTCATGCAGGTTAAATGGTCCGAAGGTCGGGAATACTATTGCATAACTTCAGAATTTGCCACCAAAGTGGTGACATAACCCAAGTGGCCTGGTGTTTGTTAAGCAAATACAGACTTCGTGTGCCGTCCACCATTTACACACAATGGGTGTTGCTGTCACAGGGTGACTCACAATACGTGCAGATTAGTTTCTCTTTCTCATCCGTTTTCTCTCTTCGTACAAAACAGTTTCAAATTTAGGGAAGCATTAAATATATAAAATAGTCTTATATAGTCATATACTCTTATATAGTCAATATACTTAAATAGTCATTAATATATATATATATATATATATTTATATATAAGGAAGCATCAAACTTTGAACTTTCTGTTAATCAAAGAATCCTGAAAATTCCACAAAAAATATTAAGTGTTTTCAAAAACTGTTTTCAACTTTGGTAATAAGAAACGTTCTTGAGCACCAAATCAGAATGATTTCGGAAGGGTCATGTGACTAAAAACTGGACTAATGATGCAGACAAATTCAGCTATATTTCTGTTTTGCTGCATTTTTGATCAAATAAATTCTGCATTAGTGAGCATAAACATTTTCTAAAAATCTGAGCGACCCCAAGCTTTTAAACTTTATTGCATATGTAACAGGATGTTCCCAGTCCACAGTCACAACATGCTGTGTCCCTATACAAAAAAGACCACCCAGTCCTGTGGGACACCATATATCTGTTCTACCATGATCCTTTAAATAGGTCAGCCTTTATCTATTCGAGCCATATGACTTTTAGCATAAATCACCATCCTCTCTCCCGGCCTTTGACTTTTGACCTCTTAATAACAGTAACCTAGTAACCCCACTAGAGAATGGTACATGCCAATGCATGTGTGGTGGCCTAAAGCTCAGGTTACAGATTTAAAGTCTCTCTCAAGACAAATAGGCCACGGGTATGCGATGTCCATCTTGAGAACAAACAAGCAGCAGGCAAATTGAACCTGTCCTTGTGTTTGAGATGGTGTGTGTCTGCTATTGTGGCTCCTGTTGACATTGGCTCCAAAGAACATTGTTAACAGCAGTTGTTTGCATATTCTCTAAGGCAATATTTCGCTCTGCCTATTAGGGTGAGTGTGTATGAAATTTAGCCCATAACTGGAGCAGGGTGAAAATGCATGCATGAATGTGTGTGATATTGAGGTCACTGGGACAACTGTAACATTTTTACATGATACAGGTGTGTGACATTTCATAAGGGGCATTTCAGGTGAGATTTTAACTTGCACAACAGCTTTTTATTTTTTATTTAAACACCACTATGATAAACTATGAGCCAGGTGCAAATAAAACACTTTTGCTCAACTTTTCACAAACATTTAGAGATTTTCACATGGTGGACGATAACATGAGTGAAAAGAATTGTATATATATATATATAAACATTTAAATGGTCAATACACTCTAGAAAATGCTGGGTTGTTTTAACCCAATTTTGGGTCAAATATGGACAAACTCAAACATTGGGTTAAAAATGTAATTTAAAAATGTAACCAAATGGCTGGGTTTGTCCATATTTGACCCAAAATTGGTTTAAAACAACCCAGCATTTTTTAGAGTGTAAGATTTTTTTATGCTTTCTTTTATGCTCTATGTTTATTTGATCAATAATACAGTTAAACAGTTATACTGTGAAATATTAGTACAATTCAAAATAACTTTTCAATTTGAATATATTTTCAAATGTAATGTATTCCTGTGAATAAAAAGCTGAATTTTCAGGAGCCATTACATGATCCTTTCATTGATGCTCAAGAAACATTTCTTATTATAATCAATGTTGGAAATGGTTGTGTTGACATATTTGACATATTTTTGTGGAAAACATGATACATTATTTTCCCCAGGATTTTTTGAAACAAACATTTTTTGTAACACTATGTCTTTACTGTCACTTTTGATAATTGTAATGCAACCTTGCTGAATTAATGTATTCATTTTGAACAGTAATGTATATCTGCAAACCAATCACAGTACTGACTTGGGAGTCGAACTATGTTACGACATATTGCTGTCCAGAAATATACGTACTCTAAAAAATTATAGTGATTTTAATGGTGAAAGATTCCGTACTATATGCGGTAAATAACTGTAATCGATCTTACCATACATTTAATTACGGTATATATAAAATAACAAGTCATTGTATAATTTAGAGTGAAAAAACATAATTTGACATTCACAGAATTCCCAGCAGGACACTTCACATTTGATATATTTTCATTAAAATAACTTAACTTTTAATCAGTTATGTACATTAGGGTTTTATGTTACATCTAATGTTGTTGAATTAACGTTTATTGCATTTTTTTAATGTCGTGTTACCATGTTGGTGTAAATAACACTGTACACCTTCTATATATTAGTATTTACCTTCTCAGCTTGGAGGAAAGCTGCTTGTGATGAGCTTTGATTCATCATTTGACTCATCCCCACCTATTTTTGGTGGTTGTTAGTGTATTACAAAGGTACAAAACAGATATTAGAACATATTTAATAGGTTGGTAAATTAACATTATACATTTTTTACTGTAAATTTAAGTTAAATCTCTAAAACCTAAAACGTTCCAACTGTATTTTTTATGGTAAATTTCTGGAGACCACAGCTTTTTTTCACATATTTTTTTTACAATGTAGCAGATTGTGGTCTTCATTCATAAGTTTACTTCTAGTTACTCTTTACTAGTAGACAACATATCTAAACATCCAAGTAATTTAATTCAGCTTATTTACAGCGTCACAAACTGGATTTGATGTAATGACAAATTAATTCATAGTAATAAATTCACATACAGAAAATAAAATCGTAATAGCTTATAGATCTCGTCCGATCTTGCAGGCCTGGGCCTGGTTAGCGCTTAGATGGGTTAAAATCATTATGAAATAAAATAAAATAAAAGTAAGAGAGAAACAGTGGGAATGAAATCAGGAAAGAGCCAGATTCAAACTTGCATTTTCCAACAAGTGGCAGGGCTTGATGTCTAAAAAACATGCGCTGCATGCTACAACTGCTCGGCTAAAGTCCTACCCTTGTTATACATTTTTTTAACCAGAGAGGTTCACGGACACATGAATCATCACAACACAGCTGTGATGGTTTTACATCAGACATGCTGGCTACTTATTCAAATCTGCATCACAAATGCACTCCCACTTGAGTGGCTTTATGAATATCAGCCCATACTCCATTTTGAGCGAGTGTGAAACAAAAGCAGAGACGTGGGGAGCCTTGTTTTCCTTCTATGGATTTCTAAACAATAGATGAAAGCCGCTCTTCAGAAATGAATAGCGGATCAGCTGTCTGCAGCAGTGTGACCTCAGAGCTTTGGTCTGATCTGATGTATGCAGAAAGAGACACACTTTCCTAGGCACGAATGGGAGGGGAGTATGACTTAAGCTGTGTGCATTGTTAGGAGTGTAAAGTCAAAGTCCAGACACCCTGGTTTTGCTCATTGCTAAGCCTGACGGCATGTATTATTCAAGGCGTTTGGCAAGCTGAGCTCGGTGCGCGTGTGATACCCAAACCACATCACGCTGGAGACGTTAAGCCTGGTTCATTAGCAAGATCTTTCGTGTTCAAAATGTCAGATCAACCATTTATTGAGGGTTTATCTCTAGGGTCAAAGCTGAATGGATATATCAGCTGATTGACTGACCTTAATACTTAACTCTCAGCAATATCTGGGTGCTAGTGGACACACGTGAAAAGAAACGGCTCCAAAAAGACTGAATTGAGCCATTCGGTCACATTCTCTGGCCGTTTAGCTTTTAGTTACAGAGGTTTAATCTTAATCTGATGAGTAAGGATGTAATGAGGTATAAGCCTGCAAGATTACAGATAAGAACAACTGTGACAATAACATGAAAGTTATATGGACATACCTGTTCTTCTCCATCTCGTTGTGTGTAGACCTGCAGAGACAGAAAGGGGGAGATGTTAGGAATCACTGTCCTTGGTCTTTTTATTAACATTTACACCGATGCATTTGGGAATGCATTGCATTGCATTTCATGCATTCACTGGGAATCAAACTAATGAGATATTAGATACTTGAAACCCTTAATCCTAGGATTAAATTTTAGAAAGAAACTTGCCAGACATTGTTTGTGCTACGGACATGAATGATACCTCAAATCATGTAGTTTGTAAAGGAGTGATCAGACTCACAATTTTTGCCTGGTGTACAATAAACTGGAATGATATAGAGACTTGAGGGAAAGCTCTTTTGATGCGAACCACCTAGCAACTACACAAAACACCCTAGCAACCATGCAGTAATGCCATGGGAACCACCCACAAAACCCTAGCATCATATCAGCAGTTTTCTAATATGTTTAATATTCAGACTTTACTTTAATGAGGTCGTGCGAGAGAGGATATGAAACAGAAAATTAAAGCAGTAGAAGTAAATTAAAGAAGTAGTTTGTAGTTTTAAAATATGAAATCAAATGTTTAAGTATATAATAATAATAACTGTCAAATAAAATATTTTGCACATAATTATTTTTAACAATTTACAATTTGTCAACTTTAATTAACAAAAGGACGATTTAAAAGCCAACTGTTGCATTGGGGGGTTGGGGGGTGGGGTGGTTGCCTCCATAATATCACATATTTTAATAAAATATATAAATAGTTTAAAAGTAAAATATAAAAATAACTTCCCTTACTAGAATATCCTCATATTTAAGGACTAACTAATCGACAGGCTACGGCTCCAATATCACCTCCATGTTCTTAGGTTTGAAAGGCACACAGAGAGTGTTCTGTGTTCACTGCTGATTTGAATGTTCAGTACAAAGGTGAACTGGTGTGTGTGTGTTTGTGTGTGTGTGTACGTGGTGTAAAGGCTATATAGGAACAAGATTTTAAGGGCCCCTAGGCTTGTTTAGTTTAGCATGCAGGAATTGCCAAAATGCTAATTGCTGATCTCAAAGTACTGCGTCCTGTGTGTGTGTATCTCTCTCTCTCTCTCGCTACGTTTGCAAAACACATAGAGGTTCTTGGCCCCACTTAGCAACAGTAACTAGAAACACAAGCCTGAGACACAAGACGGCAGTGGGGGGTGGAGTCCTCACACACCATGTAAATGAAGGCTCGCTTCACAAAGGCCATTTCTAGATAAACGGAGAAGTGAAAGCAGAAAAGGCAAAGCAGAGGAGAGAAAGATGAGGAAAAAAACAAGCGCTCAATAGACAACAAGCCCAAAATATCTTGCTTTTGCTGCCTTAAAGTCATGACAAACTGGTCAACATCATGAGATTAGTGCAAATGATTTCCACCACAACACCATAGCTGCCATTGGGACCTTGTTTTCCATTCAAAATGTGAATGTTGACTACAATTTAGATTATATAAAACATGACACATTTCCCATTATTCTCAATGCCACCACAAGAAAGTGAAAACAGACCAATTAAGCTTTACTTCAAATAAATGTAGATCTTCTTGCTAAAAGCTTTCTTCTTCAATGGGAAGGGGAAAAGAGAAAAATACACATTAGTTCAAAAGTTTAATGTCGGTAAGATTTTAAAAAAAAAATGTTTCTGAAAGAAGTCACTTATGCTCATTAAGGCTGCAATTATTTGAACAAAAATGCTGTAAACACAGTTATATTGTGAAATATTGACACATTATAAAATTACTTTTCTATTTGAATATATATTTTAAAATTGTATTTATTTCTGTGATGAAAGCTGAATTGTCAGCAGCCACGCTAATCTGGTCCTCAGGTGACATTTCTTATTGTCATTCAGGATTATTTGATGAATAGAAAGTTCAAAAGAACAGCATTTATTTGAAATATTCTCGTTTCATTGTATCTTGTGAATTTCGTAAGTCACTTTTGAGAAATTTGAATGTGCCCTTGCTGAATAAAATGACAATTTCTAAAAAAAATAAAATAAATAAATAAATAAATAATCTTACAAACCCTAAAGTTTAGAACAGTAGAGGAAATAAAAAAATAAATAACGATTTCCAAAGTGAAAAGTAAGAACTTTCGGTCACACATTAGCTTGGGGTCCAATTCTCATTATTAACTAACTATTACCTACTTAATAGTTATAGTGCCTAATAGTGCCTAAATAAGCTCCTAATTGCTGCTTTTTAATAGTTAGTATGGTACTTAAGTCTAAGTATTGAGTACCATTAAGGGATATAGAATATAGTAATGCATAAGGCATTAATATGCGCTTTATAAGTACTAGTAAACAGCCAATACTCTAGTAATATGCATACTTAAGTGTTACCGAACCTTCCCAGGAAATTTGAAGGCAGGATTTCTATACATCAGCAACTCAACACTCTTGCCAAATCAAATTAGTGGACTGGAAATGGTGGACCATGCAACTTTGAATGTCCAAGAGAATTACATTCACTGCAAACGCCATAACCTGCAAAAAGTACTCGGACTCAAAAAGGGAGCTTGCGCCCAATTTATACTTCTGCATCAAACTAACGGCGTAGCTAAACCGTAGCGTCAATTCTACGCGTACCGCAAGTGCTGTGATTGGTCTGCTAGAACCGCTCCACGAGTTTCACATGCTCCCTCTGCATGTGTAATTGCGCGTCAATGCGGACAATGACGCAGAAGTATAAACGAAAACCAATGCGTAATGTATAGCATAGAGGCACCAGCATAGATCCGACGCAGAAGTATAAATCAGCCTTTCATCCCTCTCCAATTCATCCTTCAAACTGAACTTATGACCCCTTCTACAGTAACCCTCACTCTAAAAATACCTCAAGACATCTCATGTCAGAGTCTCACAATAACTGTACCCCCTTATGCCTGCTACAGACTGAGCGATTTTAGCAGTCCATTTTAGCATGCGCTAGTGGTAAACAAAGAGCAAGATGAATCGCAGGTTGTGCTCTGAAGAAAAGAGAAGGAAGCGAAAGAGGAGAATATGGATGCGGTCAAGGCTAAGGAAAAAAGGCTAACTTGGCATGCCAATTTTGCAAGTTTTAAGTTTTAGCGTCATGCTGCGTTGATCAATACGCCGTTTCAGGTTGCATTTTTAATGGCTAGGCAGTTGGTCGTAGCAGCAAACGCACTGATATGATTATTAAATTTCTGACACTGAGAAAGAATTATGTCTTTGGTCGCAAGACAGTGTGAACTGCCGTCTTTGAACGTCTCACACTGTACGACGTAGAACACCGTTTAGGAGCCACGACCACAGAAATCGCCATGATTGGACATCTATCATCTGGGAAAGCCCAATATCGTACAATATGTACCAGGAATTAAAGAAAACGCTTATCACATTTATTGTTTATGGCTTTTGTCTGGGCTGGGTATTGACACAAATTTCACAATTCGATTCGATTTCGATTCACAAGCTTGCAATTCGATTCGATTCAATATTGATTATTTTGGATATCAGATATCAAATCTCTTAACTAATGCTGTAAACTATGGGAGTCTAGTTGTAGCCTACTAGGCTTCATTAGCCTAATATGAAGGTAATAATGAACTGTTTTGTAGCTATACAAACACTTAAATTACACTTTTATTTATTTTTATAGTAAGAAGATTATATGAAATACAAACATTTAAATGGTGGCTGTCATAAAAACTTGCCAGATTTATTCAAATATGCATTAAATATTGAAGAACATTAAGATCATAGTGCACATGTAATATGGTGTATATATTTTGCAAAATTCTCCTCTCTAGAGTTATTTTTTCTAGCTGACTAACGAGTTTATGTGGGTTTTCTGAGGTAAATATGACGATACATGACATTGATTACAAGCTGTTTAACTGACGTCTTTCCACGGTTGAAACGCTGATTAAGCGAATCAATGTGACATGATACGGATTTCGGAAAGTTGTACTCTATCTTTTAACACACTTTCAGATGCTCATTCATGTTTATTTCGCGCGGTAACTGGTAAATTATTAAGCCGGAAGAGAGATCAGCGCTGCTGCATCTCTTAAGCTGCGCCAGAACGATCTCACGCCACAGCGCCAAAACGTTATTTATGTTTTTGAATTTCTAAAGAAAATGGACGTGATTTGAAATTTGAGACTTTGTTTCATATCCATAGTAACCAAAGACAAAGATTATTGAGATTTTTTGGATGCGCGCAGCCGCGATACAATGATCCAATCATTCAAATGAAACAGGATGACTAATCCATTCTTGAGATTTAAGAATCGATATCAGTTCGTAAAAATGAGAATTGATTAATATCGAGAAATCGATATTTATTACCCAGCCCTAGTAGACACCATATTTAAACAGGCAAAGCTGTGAAGGATATACAGACAATAACACTGCATCTACCCTGACTACGGTCCACAAATGCACTTTGAATTTATAAACAAGCTTCTAACATTAGCGCACCCATGCAAAGAGATCAGCTGATCTGCTCGGCTGGCATCTCGCTCGGTGGATTTTGTGGGGTCAGTGAGGGGGATCGACAGATACCAGTGACATAACAGCCCGTATACTGTGTAACGCCAAGTTGACTCCCCTTCGCTGTTACTGTACTTGCCAGACCACCTGTTCCAACACATGAAAGTCCAAGCAGTTTCTTACGACATATCTGGTCCGATTAGCTGGATACACCTCCAGTTCACCATGTGATGGCCCAAAGGTATAACCGCATTCATTTCGCACTGCAAATATTTCATAGTGAATACAAAAACGACTTGAAATATGGCACCAGTGCACACATTCATACAGGAACAAGAGGAGAACCCACGGCTGCTGCTATGTGCATTAGCCCACATACCATCTGAATGCAAGCGAGAGGTAGGAGGAGCTCTGTCATATATATAATGGGGGTGTTCGAGCTGCTCTGGTTGCCTGGATCGAGGAGAAGGGAAGAGGGGGAGGGGAGAGCCCACCACTCTCACACCACGTACACAGATCAGGGACACACACTGCCACCCTTC